GGTCAAAGGGTATGCACATTTTTATAGCCCTTTGGGCATAGTTCAAAATTGCTCTTCAAAATGGTTGGATCATTTCACAACTCCACCAACAATGCGTTAGTGTTCCAATTTTCCCACATCTTCTCCAACATTTATCATTTTCTTATTTTGTCATGTTGGCCAATCTGATAGATGTGATGTGGTACTTCAGAGTTGTTTTGATGTGCATTTCTCTAATCAATAGTGATTTAGAGCATTTTTTCATATGACTATAGATGGCTTTAATTTCTTCATCTGAGAACTGCTTGTTCATATCCTTTGACCATTTATCAATTGGGGAATGACTTGTATTTTTACAAATTTAAATTCCTTTTATGATATAAATATGGTGCTGATACCTAAATGAGAAAGAGCCAAAACAGAGAAAGAAAATTATGGACCAATTTCCTTAATGAATATAGATGCAAAAATTTTAACTAAAATATTAACAAAGAGATTACAGCAACTTATCACAAGCATAATACACTATGACCAGATAGGATTTATACCAAGAATGTAGGGCTGGTTCAATATTAGGAAAGCTACCAGCATAATTGACCATATCAATAACAAAACTAACAGAAATCATATGATTATCTCAATAGATGCAGAAAATCTTTTGACAAAATACAACACCCATTCCTATTAAAAAACACTAGAGAGCATAGGAATAAATGGAGTTTTCCTTAACATGATAAGTAGCATCTATCTAAAACCATCAGCAGGCTTTTTATGTAAGGGGATGAGCTAGAAGCATTCCCAATAAGATCAGGGGTGAAAAAAGGATGTCCATTATCACCACTGTTATTCAATATTGTACTTGAAATGTTAGCTTTAGCACTAAGAAGAAAAAGAAATTGAAAGAAATAGAATAGGCAGTGAAGAAACAAAGTTATCATTCTTTGCACGTGATATGATGGTATACATAGAGAATCAGAGAAAATCAAGTAAAAAATCACTTGAAATAATAAACAACTTTAGTGAAGTTGCAGAACATAAAATAAACCCACATAAATCTATATATCACTAACAAAGCCCAATAGCAAGAGATAGAAAGAGAAATTCCATTTAAAATAACTGTAGACAATATAAAATATTCAGGAGTCTACCTGCCAAGACAAATCAAGGAGATATATGAACACAACTACAAAATAATTTTCACACAAATAAAGTCAGATCTAAATAATTGGAAAAACATGAGTTGCTCGTGGGTAGGCTAGGCTAATATAATAAAAATGACAATTCTACTTAAATTAATTTACTTTTTTAGTGCTATAGCAATCAAACTACCAAAAAATTATTTTATAGAACTAAAACAAATAATAACAAAATTCATCTGGAAGAACAAAAGGTCCAGAATATCAAGGGAATTAATGAAAAGAAATGCAAGGGAAGGTGACTCAGCCCTATCAGATCTTAAATTGTATTATAAAACAGCAATCATCAAAACTTCTTGATACTGTCTAAGAAATAGAGTGGTGGATCAGTGGTATAGGTTAGGTACACAAGACACAGTAGTCAATGACTATAGTAATCTACTTTTAGATAAACCCAAAGCCTCCAGTTTTCTGGATAAGAACCCACTATTTTACAAAAACTGCTGAGAAAACTGGAAAATGGTATAGCAGAAACTAGGCATAGATCAACATCTAACACCATATACCAAAATAAAGTCAAAATGGGTAAACTATTTAGACATTAAGGTGATATTATAAACAAATTAGGAGAGCAAGGAATAGCTTACCTGTCAGATCTATGGAGAATGGAAGATTTTTAAGACCAAAGAAGAGATAGAAAACATTATGAAATGCATAGTGAATAATTTTGATTACATTAAACATTTTTTTTTGCACAAACAAAGCCAATGCAACACATATTAGAAGGGAGACAGAAAGGTGGGAAACAATTTTTACAGCCAGTGTCTCTGACAAAGGTCTCATTTCCAAAATATATAGAGAACTGAATCAAATTTATAAGAATACAAGTCATTCCCCAATTGATAAATGGTCAAAGGATATAAACAGGCAGTTTGCAGATGAAGAAATTAAAGCTGTCTATAGTCACATGAAAAAATGCTCTAAATCACTATTGATTAGAGAAATGCAAATTAAAACAACTCTGAGGTACCACATCACACCTATCAGATTGGTGAGCATGACAAAACAGGAAAATGATAAATGTTGGAGAAGATATGGGAAAATTGGAACACTAATGCATTGCTCGTGGAGTTGTGAATTGATCCCACCATTCCAGAGAATAATTTGGAACTATGCCCAAAGAACTCTAAAACTGCATGCTCTTTGATCCAGCAATACTACTATTAGATCTGTATCTCAAAGAGATCATAGAAATGGGAAAAGGACGCACATGTACAAAAATATTTATAGCCTCTCTTTTTGTGTTGGCCAAGAATTGGAAATTGAGCGAATGCTCATCAATTGAGAAATGACTAAACAAGTTGTGGTATATAAATGTAATGGAATACTATTGTTCCGTAAGAAACGAAGAGCAGGTTTTCTCAGAAAAACCTGGAAAGACTTGCATGAACTGATGTTGAGCGAAGTAAGCACAACCAAGAGAACATTGTACACAACAATAGTAACATTGTGTGATGACCAACATTGATAGACTTAGCTCTTCTCAGCAATGCAAAGATCTAAGACAATTCCAAAAGACTCATGATGGAAAATGCTATCCACATGCAGAGGAAGAAATATTGAGTCTGAATGCAGATCGAAGCACACAATTTTCTCTCTCTCTTTTTGTTTCTTCTTTCTTGTGCTTTTTTCCTTTTGTTCTAATTCTTCTTTACAACATGACTACTGAGGAAATATGTTTAATATGATTGTACATGTACAGCCTGTATCAGATTGCATGGCACCTTGTGGAGAGAAGAGGGGAAGGAGGGAAAGAAAATTTAAAACTCAAAAATCTTATAAAAGTGAATATCAAAAACTAAATAAATTTTTTTTAAAGAAATTACATAGGGGTGCTTTATTACCTTTTTCTGTACAAGTTCTCAAAATTTTATATGAAAAACAGAAACCAGTGGCACTAGACTGAGATAAAAGATTAAGGGAATTTCAGAGTTAAGGGCTAATGTTTAGAATGCATATGAGGGACTTTGGGAAAGACAATGATCTGGGACTCCACTCCTCTGCTTACTCAAATACATTGACTAATAGATAATTAAGTTATGTAAAGGAGGCAGGGGGTTAGGTAAATGGTGAAGTGGATAGAGTGCTGGGCCTGGAGTCAGGAGATCCTGAGTTCTAATGTGCCCTCAGGCACTTATTAGCTTTGTGAACCTGAGCAAGTCACTTAATCCTGTTTGCCTAGTTCCTCATTTGTACACAATGAGCTAGAGAAGTAAATGTTAAACAGTATCTCTGCCAACAGTACAGTATTTCTGCCAAGAAAACCCCAAATGGGGTCTCGAAGAATCAGACCTAACTGAAACGACAAAAACAACCCAGACAGTCACTGTCTTGGCTGCAATGACAGAAATGCAGGGATGTCCTGGCATCACACAATGTTCCTTAAGGTTATTAAAGTTTTGATATAATTTAAAGTACCCCTTGACACTACCTGCAAAAATCTTTTTTTTTCATTTAAACAAATATTTATTGTTTCTCTTGTGTGCAAGGAACTATGCTCAATGTTGGAGAAATAAGGGAAAAATGAAAACAATCTATTTTATACTAAATTCTACTATGAGAACAATTGACATTTATCTGCAAAATTCTTGATAGCAACTAAAAGGAATTTATTCTCCCAAGTCAAAATATCAGGGAGGCTTGGAGAATTCCTTTGAAGGAGGATGTTGAACATTGTTAAGCTAAAAGAGCTAGAGACACCATTAACTCCAAGCGTGTTGGCTGGACACTAACACAAAAGAGCACTAATACTTCCTCTGAAAAAGGATCCCCAACCCCAGCCCCAGATGAAAACTCTAACAACTTTAGAAACAGGATAGAACATCAGTGGGGCATACACACTTGTGTGGGAAGTGGACCATTAAAGCTATTCCGGCTGAGCCATAACCCTGGGACCTCTTGAGTCCTATAGGTAATATTCCCATTCTTGTGGGCAGCATGAGTAACCATGGGAAATTGCATTTCTTTATGTCTTGGGTCATTTCCCTTGTCAATTTGAAGTCAGCATTTATGGCAAGGAAACAACATATATTTCATTGGAAAGGATTTCTTCAGTGGAGAGGAAAAGATGTCTTATATGTAATTAGACAAGCCACTTCAGTCTCACGAAGACCTGGGTTCTAAACCTGCCTCTGATTCCTATTGGCTATGTGACTCTGGGCAAGTTGCTTAACCTCTCTGCTTCCCAGGCAACTTTCAGACTAAAAACCCCAAGACAATGGCAGATGTGCTGTTGGTAGAGGGAAGTTCCTCTCCAGGGAGCTTACTACATAAATCAAAGCATAGGTCTATATCATTTATTTTGGTATTGGTTCTAAGTGAAAACTTTTCTATTTGATTTATGGTTCCTGGTTTTTGGTAGTGAATTCCACTATTAAATTTTGGGTTTTGATAGTGAATTCCACATTTATTTAACTAGGATCACCCCCAAACAATACCTGAAGAAAAAAGGGAGTTATTTGGGATCCATGATACCCAGATTTAGATGACCAACTTTGATATAATGATAGTAGACTTTCCTTACACCTTAGTAGACATTCCTTACACAAAGAAAGAAACTCCATTTTTACATTTCAGATATCCTATGTGGGCCATGTTAAGCTGATCAGTTCCTACTCACCAAAGTCCCAAATGCATTTCAATCAGTTAAATAGATCCATGCCTAGCTGCCTTCAGCCTGTCACTGGGGGAAAATAGGAGGCCTGAATCTTGCCCTTCACTTGATTCTCCTCCCCCTTCTTCCCTCCCCAATCTACCCTTTAAATCATTGGCTGTTAGTGTTTGGACTTTCCTCATGTATCCCCAGTAGAGTCAAGATTATAAAAAGGACGGCTTGTCTCTCTAGTTCCTAATCAGACTGTTTGTTCTCTCTTGTTTTTCAGAAAACCAGGAATTGAGAATCATGGCTGCGAAGCCCAAACTGTATTACTTTGATGAAAGAGGCAGAATGGAATCCGTGCACTGGCTCCTGGCAGCTGTTGGTGTGGAGGTAGATGTTTCTTTTTTTAGATTTATTCTTTTTCTTCAGACTCAGTGAATATTTAGTAGAGGAGAAGTCACATGGAGCTTACTGAATGACTCCCTGTAAAAAAAGGGTCTAATCATTGTGATCACCATCTTTTTTTTTTTTTTTTTTAATAGTGAACTGAGTCTCAGGAGCAAGTTCAAAGTGATGTTTATCTAGCTAATTGAGTGTCATTTGAATTCTCCTTCTGAAAGTGTAAACAAAGCCTAGTGGAAAGCTCACTGGACTTGGATTCAGCAGATGTAGGTCCAAGTCCTGGTGATATCCCCAGGTAGCTATACACCTTTAGGCAAACCTCCTTGCATCTCTGAGACTCAGTTTCATCATTTGTAAAATAGAGGAATTGGATTAGATTATTTCTGAGATTCCCTCTAGCTTTAACATTCTGTGATTCTGTGATCTTTGCCTATGCCGCAATTGAAAAATACCTAGGAACAGAGGTTGTGTTAGTTTCTAAAGAGATTTAAACAATCTATGTTTTTGTGAACTTTTACAAAAAAATTCAGTCAGGATTGGAGAAGGTTCAGATTTCTTCTATACCAGGTCTTCCTAAAGTCTTTTTGAAGTTTCTAAACTTTTATACATTAATAATTTAGATTGATATGCTAGAAAAAATTTGTAATAATCTTTCAGGTGGTAATGAATGATTTTTCTCACTCTTCTCTTATATTGGCAAATCACTTCACCTCTTGGGGGTTCGCTTTCCTCTCCTGCCAAATCAGCAGATTAGAGGAGCTAAAATCCAACGTCCCTTTCAGTTCTGCCTACTTCATAGGATGTGAAGGACTTCAGTTCTGCTAATCACAGGACCCTACTCTGTCACAGGATGGAAAATACAATTACTTTGTGGACAGATGTGTAATGTGGTTACTATAAACTTGAACAAACTTCTTTTTAAATATTGAAAAGTTCTTTCTTTTGTACCTAGGTTAGGCATAAAAACTCTGCAGAGGTTTTAAGAGCCCCTTGTATGGACACACATATTAGGTTAATATGCAATGGGTCTATTATTGTTATTCTAAATTAATTAAAATTTTAAAAATAGATTTACAATTACGATATATTAAAATTTAGCTGTTTTAATGTCTATGTTGGAAATATCAATAGATAGAACCCACACAAACAGAAGCTCTTTGGATGAGTCCCACATCAAAAATGCAAAGGAGGATTCTGAGAATAAAAGTTAGAGAAGTGTTGGATGAGAGCATCACAGAATCAAAGGTAGAGCTGGAAGGAACCTTGGAGGTCATTTAGTCCAAGGTCCTCATTTTTGCAGATGAGGAAATTGAAGCCCAGAGAAGTTAAATGACTTGCCCAAGGTCACCCAGCTAGAAAATAGGTATCAAAGGCAGGATATGAACTCAGGTCTTTGTGACTTCTAGTCCTATGCTCTACCCATGATACCACCTAGTTGTCTTAGGTGATCTCTAAGGTCCCCCCCCAGTGCTAACATTTCATGATTCCATTGCTCTGAGACTCTCACGTGGACTTCTCCTTTCTAGTATGAAGAAGTGCTTTTCAAAACAGCTGAAGATTTTGAGAATTTAATTAAGGGTGAGTTCAAAGAGCTGCTGCTGTGCTGTGCTAGTCCATGCAGATCAGATTAACTTCCATTGCCCTGCCTGAAAAGATACACAGAAAGTCTCTTAGATCCCCTTGTAACCCTACATCCTGTGATTCTGTAGTTGTGAAAAAGTATGTTATAAATCATAGCATGGAAGGGAATTACCTAGGACAGTACACACATGTGTGCTTCTCTGTACCTCAGAGGCAGGGTTTGAATTTCAAAACAACCACATCAGGGAAGAAAGTAAAGCTTCTTTCCTCCTGAAACAAAGGGCCCTTGGCTTCTATAGAGGAATAGTGGTGGAAGTAAAGAGTTGGAGTTGGGTCATGTGATTCCCTGAATGTGAGGAAAGAGTAGGCAAATGGGAGTTATGGGAGGGTTTTTGGTAGAAATAACTTGATAATTGCTGTGTGTCCTTGCTGTTTCCTTGACTGTTAAATGGGGATGAAGATAATATAGTACCTGCCTCCTAGAGTTGTGAGGATCAAATGAGATAATATTTTTAAAAAACACTTAGTATGGTACCTGGCACATATTAGGCACTTAATAAATGCTTATTTCCTTCTTTTTTCCAGAAATGTGTCCCCCAACTCCCTCTCCCATGGAAAGTAAAACTTTTTCCTCTGAAGCAGAATCCTTGTTCTCTATAAACTGTCTTTACTTAAAGCAGCTAGTTGGTGCACTGAAGCTGGAGTCAGGAAGAACAAAATTCAAATCTTTCCTCAAACACTTGCTGTGTGGCTTTTGTGTTCTGTGATCCTGAGCAAGTCACCAAACTTTCAGTCTCAATTTCCTCATCACTGAAATGGTTGAAGGTTGTTGTGAGGATCAAATGAGATAATATATGCAGTGCAAAGTTTTTTTTTGAAAACTCTAAAATATAAAAATGCTGGCAATTATTAACTATTGGAGTCTAGGAATTAGGAAATAGGAATTGTTGTGACATTGAGTAAGGAGAATGAGGGGCTGGCAGACTTGACCTAGCTCAAGAAGGTGAATGGATAGTATGCCAGCCCTAGGCCTTATAATAAACCAAGTAAAAATTTTAAATTTATACAAAGTTCTTTACAAGTAGTATTATTCCCATTTTACAGATGAGAAAACTAAGGCTCAGAGAGGATAAATGAATTCTCCAGGGCAACACAGCTAGTAAGTGGCAGAACCTAGATCCAAACCCAGGTCACCTGATTTAAATCTAGTACCCTCCAGACTGTACTATACTACTGTCTATTCTAGTCTATGTTGTAGAGCCGCTCTCATACCTGAAATTCTTTGGCGTTAAATTTTAATCTATTCAGGCATACTCTTATAAAACATAAGCACCCCTTGAAGTGGCAATGTATGTGTTAATTTGCTAAAACTATGATATGAATTAGGTTTCATTCATTAAATAAGCATTTATTAAATGACTAGTATTTGAGGAGCTTTGAGGTAAGTAGCTCAGGAAAATACAAGGATAAACAAAACAGGGTTCCTGCTCTCAAAAATTTTACAATCTAGTTGAGGCAAAAATGTCTAAGGTCCTTTATAGCTCTCAACCTAGGATCCTATAATCCTATAATCCTAATTTTTACCTCCAAATTGTATATACATAAACATTAGAACGTGGCTGATACATAAGAGGAGTAGAAAGTACTGTGATATCAAAGGATCAGAGAAGATTGCATGGAGGAAGTGGTGTTTGAGTTGAATCTTCCAGGATGGGTAGAATACCAATAGAAGGAAATAATAGGAAAAGGCATTCCAGGAGTAAGGCACAGAAGTCAATATATGGGGTTTGGCAAGTAATCATTAATAGCTAATTATTATTTTTAAAATAGCAATAATTATTAGCTAATCATGATGAGCATAATGGAGAGGTGTCTAATTCCTGGCAAGCTGCCCTTAAGTGAAGCAGAAACCAGATTAGAATGTAATTGGGAAACATTTAAGAAAATAAATAAAAATAGAACACAGATAATGTTAATTTGTGATTTTCTAAGTCAATATGTAGCTCACAGGGATCCCTTTTTATTTGAGTTTGACTTCACTATGTGGTACAGTGGGTAGAGTACCAGGCCTAAAGTCAGGTAGATTCCTCTTCCTAAATGCAAATCTGGCCTCAGACATTTACTAGCTGTGTGACCCTGGGTAAATCACAGGGTCAACCTTGTTTGCCTCAGTTTCCTCATCTGTAAAATGAACTGAAGAAGGAAATGGCAAACCTCTCCTGTATCTTTACCAATAAAATTCTAAAAGTGGGTACAAAGAGTTGGACATGACTAAAAAAAAATGACTAAATAATGAATATGAAATGAGGATGAAAAAGTCCATTGGATCTGGATTGGGGGTGGAAGAAGATGTTCTTTGGACTTTATTAAGGAGAAAATAGGAGCCAGAGTCTTTTTTGAGCAATGATAGATAACGTGATCAGACCTGTGTGTCAGAAAGTTTAATCTAGTAGTATGTTGGATGGAATGGTCAGGAGGTACCTGTTGAGAGATAATTGCAAAAGAGGAAAAGGCTCATAGAAATAGAGAAAGAAGGTTCCTGAGGTCATCTGTCTAGCCCTCTCATTTTACAATTGAGGAAACTGAGATTCAGGAAAGTTAATGAAGACCTAAATGTGGAGCATTGTGGTAATGGGGTAATTAGGCAGTGGGGATGGTAAGGCTGGCACAGAATTGACTGAACTTGATAACTGATTGGACATGTGAGATAGGGTGAGGGAGAAGTTAAGGATGGCCTTGAAGTGGTGAGCAGGAGTCCCTGAAAATGGTAGTGTCATTGGCAAAAATAAAGAAGTCAGAAGCAAGGTCAGACAATGAGGGGGGGTGTTGAGGTGTTGAGGAGGTAGAAGATAATGAGTTTAGTCTTAGATACATGGAATTTGAGATGCTGATGTTATTTCCAAGTAGAGATGTCCAATAGGCAGCTGGAAAAGGGAATAAGAACTTGTTAAAGAGGTCAGAACTAGAGATGTTCCCATTAGAACTCTGACTAAGTTTGGGACCCTGGGTCTGATAAGTGAGCTTTATTTTGCTTGGCAACAGACAGCACACCTTTTCCAGACATTTTCAAACTATGCTGCCTGCACACTGGCCTACTCTTCATCCCCATCACGCCAGAACTCACACTGACCCTAACATCCTGGGCTCTGATAGGTGTGTTTGGCCAATGGGACACTTCCAAATCCCACTGCCATAAGCATATCTTTCCTGATTTCTATCTCTCCGTTATGCATTGTCTTTCCCCTTTAGAACTGTAAGCTTCTACAGGACTGAGAAGGTCTTGCTTAGGTTTTTATCCCTAGCACTTAGCATAGTGACTGGCATATAGTTAGGTGCTTAAAAAAGGCTTTTTCATTCATTCTTTCACTTAGATTTAGGAGTTCCACATACAGAAGGGATAGCTGAAGCTGTGGGAAAGGATAAAAAAGCACTGAGAGATGGTGTAGAAAACTGAAAGGAAGAGAGCCAAACACTGGAGCCTTAGGGAAAGGATTTTTGCAAAAAGAGGTCATTTGGTGACTTTTAAAAGAGCAGTTTTTAGTAGTTTTATTGGTAGTTTCTGTAACTGTAAGGACAAAAGCAAACTGCCTCCTCTCCCATCCCCCATTCTCACATGAAAACACTGGCACATAAGTGGTATGAAATGGTCTACACTGATATGCACATGGTGTCCTTGGAGAATGGTAAGTAGTCTAGTTTTACCATTGCATGGGATAAATGAAGGGAACAGATAAATTAAAAATCAATTATTAAGCATTTACTGTGTTCCAAGTACTATTCTAAGATCTGGGGATACAAAAAACCCAACAACATATGAAGACAATACCTTATATTTTAATGGGGAAGACAACAGAGATAGAAGAATGGTGGTCAGGAAGGGGTGTTTTGATTTGGAAAGTTACTGGGGTGGTTATTGGAGCCTTAGAGGAATAGATTATAAGTAATTATAAACTTTCCAGTAGCAATGGACTTATTGATTTGATTGTGGTTCCAGCCTTGGAAAGGAGATAGAGGCTACAAAGAGTATGAACCAGGGGCAAAGCAGCTACTGCCAAATAAACAGCTGGGAAAAGAAGGCAAGCATGGATTGGGCCAGTCTGCTATAGGAGACTTTTGAGGCACTGACTAATTTGCAACCCCAGATCATGAGTTTTGAAGTTGAAAGGGTAAAGTCTCTAAGGCATCTCCTCTGGGCCAGTGAACAAAGACAATTGGTCTGGCCAGAAGAGGGATGGGAAGTGAAAAGTGATGGGATACAAGACTGGAAAGGTTATGGAGTTCATGGAAGAGTTTGAATTTTTATTTTTAATTTTATGGTAATTCTTTAATAGATTTTTTAGAGATTCCATAAAAGGTATACTATATTGAGGTGGAGCCAAGATGGGGGAGGGAAAGCAGTGACTTGCTGGAGCTCTACCCCCAAACCCCTCCAAACACCTATAAAAAATGGCTTTAAACAAATTCTAAAGCAGCAGAACCCACAAAAAGACAGAGTGAAACAAATTTCCAGCCCAAGACAGCCTGGATGGTTGATTGGAAAGGTATATCACATGGGGCTGGGAGAGGAGTGTAGTGCGGCGTGAGCGCGTAGGCCGCAGCGAACCTGGAGCAGGTCTCAGAGGACTGAATCACCGGCAGCTGTGGCGGTTTCCAGACTTCTCAACCCATGAACGCCAAAGACAACTTGGAAGGTCAGTGGGAAAAGTCGATGACTGTGGTGAGAGAGGGAGCTAGGTCTCAGCCACCCCCTGGGGACTTGGTTGTTCCCTGAGCTTCTGGCCCACAGACTGAGGGGGAATCAAATGGCTGATCAGAGAGGGATTGCGGGGATCTCTTTGCCAGTGCTGAGGCAGGAATCTCTTGCTTTACCGGTGCTTTACCACAGTTCTGAGGGGCGGTCCTGGGGCGAGGAGGAATGCTGGTGTGGTGAAGCTTCTTGTGGCGGTGGAGAGAAAACACTTCGCCCCTTATCATAGCACCTTGGAAGAACTGAAAATTTTCAAGTCCCTAGAAGTATCTCTGAAAACAGCTGTACAAACCCCCAAAGCTTGGGACAGTACGTTCTCCACATTGGAAGCAGACTTTTACCTTAACAAAGAGTTTAAAACTCAAGTAATTGGCCGGGATCATGAGTAAGCAGCGCAAAAAGAGTCAGACTATATTATCTTACTTTGGTGACAAAGAAGATCAAAATATGCAACCAGAAAAAGACAACGAAGCCAAAGCTCCTACATCCAAAGCCTCCAAGAAGAATATGAATCAGTCCCAGGCCTTGGAAGAGCTCAAAAGGGATTTTGAGAAGCAAGTAAGAGAAGTAGAGGAAAAACTGAGAGTTTTGTAAGAAAATTATGAAAAACAAGTCAACAATTTGATAAAGGAGACCCCAAAAAATACTGAAGAAAATAACACCTTAAAAAATAGCCTAACCCAAATGGCAAAAGAGGTCCAAAAAGCCAATGAGGAGAAGAATGCCCTAAAAAAACAAAACTGGCCAAATGGAAAAGGAAGTCCAAAAAATTACTGAAGAAAATACTTCCTTAAAAATTAGAATAGAGCAATTGGAAGCTAGTGACTTTATGAGCAATCAAGACACTGTAAAACAAATTCAAAAGAATGAAAAATTAGAAAACAATGTGAAATATCTCATTGGAAAAACAACTGACCTGGAAAATAGATCCAGGAGGGAGAATTTAAAAATTATTGGACTATCTGAAAGCCATGATCAAAAAAGGAGCCTAGACATCATCTTTCAAGAAATTATCCAGGAAAACTGCCCTGATATTTTAGAACCAGAGGGCAAAATAGAAATTGAAAGAATCCACTGATCACCACCTGAAAGAGATCCCCAAAGGAAAACTCCTAGGAATATTGTAGCCAAATTCCAGAGTTCCCAGGTCAAGGAGAAAATATTACAAGCAGCCAGAAAGAAACAATTCAAGTATTGTGGAAACACAATCAGGATAACACAAGATTTAGCAGCTTCTACATTAAGGGACTACAGGGCATGGAATATAATATTCCGGAGGGCAGAAGAGATAGGATTACAACCAAGAATCACCTACCCAGCAAAACTGAATATAATCCTTCAGGGGAAAAAATGGTCATTCAGTGAAATAGAGGACTTTCAGGCATTCTTGATGAAAAGACCAGAGCTGAATAGAAAATTTGATTTTCAAATACAAGACTCAAGTGGAACATGAAGAGGTAAAAAGGAAAGAGAAAATCATAAGAGACTTATTATGGTTGAACTGTTTACATTCCTGCATGGAAAGATGATATTTGTAACTCATGAGACCTTTGTCAGTATTAGGGTAGTTAGAGGGGAAAAAATTATATGTACATATATATAGATATAGATAGATAGATAGATAGAGGGCACAGGTGAGTTGAAGATGAAGGGGTCATATATGGAGAATAAAATTAAGGGGTGAGAGAGGATTATACTAGAAGAAGGAGAAAGGGAGAGGTAGAACGGGGTAAATTATCTCACAAAAAAAAAAACCAGAAGAAAAGGCTCTTACAGTGGAGGGGAAACGGGGGAAGGTGAGAGGGAATGAGTGAATCTTATTCTCATAGAATTTGACTTAAGGAGGGAATAACATACACACTCAATTGGGTATGGAAATCTGTCTTACCCTACAGGAAAATGAGGGGGCAGGGGGCAAGAGAGTAGGGGGATGATAGAGAAGAGGGCAGATTGGGAAAGGGGGTAATCAGAAGCAAGTACTTCTGAGGAGGGTCAGAGTCAAAAGAAAGAATAGAATAAATGGGGGGGTGGGATAGGATTAAGGTAAATAGAGTTAGTTTTTCACAGCATGTCTACTATGGAAGTGTTTTGCATAACTGCACATGTATAACCTATATTTAGTTGCTTGCCTTATCAATGAGGGTGGGTGGGGAGGGAGGAAGGGAGAAAATTTGGAACCCAAAGTTTTAAAAACTCATGTTTAAAAAAAAATGTTTTCACATGCAACTGGGAAATAAGAAATACAGGAAATGGGGTACAGAAATCCATCCTTCCCTATAGGAAAATTGAAGGGGAAGGGGATAAGAGAAGGGGAGAAGAGATAGAAGGGAAGGCAGACTAGGGGAAGGGGTATTCAGAATGCATGCCATCTTGGGGTGGGGGGGAGGGGCGAGATGGGGTGAAAATTTGGAACTCAAAATCTTGTGGAAGTAAATGTTAAAAACAAAAAAATAAACAAAAATTACCATTAAAAAATAAAAAAATAAAATATAAAAAAATAGATTTTTTAAACACCAATAAAGCTCATACTTTGACAAATGTTAGTAATCTAATTACAGCAAAAGCCTATAGAGAAATAAATCTGATTTGTTACTATACAAGCACAGCATTGCCCTCTTATGGTACCAAAAGGAGTAAGTTTTAAACAGTAAATAAATTTTAACTTAATGAAAATCATTTCTACATATTTTACTTATAAAACTTAAAGAGAAAATAACCAGATTAAATCTTTCATTTACTTACAAAATAAGCATCAAAAGTTATGGGGAAGTTTGGTTTCATATGAGTCCCCAAATTATTTTTCAGTTATTTACTTCTCTTCCTAGAAATTGTCCACAGGTTTAAATATTAAGTCAGTATAAATACAAAATAAACACAACCTATGTCCGCAAAGCTATCAATGTCTGCTTAATCATTTATAAAAGGGAGAGAATGTAATTGAAAACCTGATTAAAGATTTAATCATTACTATCCAAAACAGAAATACACTATTTTGTGGTACTATTTTATCTCTGTAAAATCACAAAGATAGCTCTTGCCTTCAGGATAGGCACTTATGCAAAAATAGGCTATAGTGAAAAGTTTTGGCCATCTTGTTAAATAAACATCCTGAGGTTTGCCTGCTAACTGCTAAAAAAAACTGAAGAATTTCCAATGTAGAGTTTACTTATCATTTATCACATTTAAATATAAGATTATTAATGTGTTATATGCAAAAGCTACATTACAAAGTGGGAGTTATAGCAGTTTTTTGTGCAAAGAAGTAACTTGATAATTGTCATTTTTCCAAAAGATTAATTAGGAAGGACAGATTGGAAAAGACAGAGACTGGAAGTATGAAGATCATTGTAAAATGAGAGAACTGAACTAGAGGACCTCTAGGGTCCCTTCTGGTTCCAGCACTATGATTCCATGACCATATTCCAATGAAGGGGAGTACACTACTGACTTGACTTTTCTTTCTGTTTTTAGGTGGAAAACTAATGTATCAACAAGTGCCAATGGTTGAAATGGATGGAATGTACATAGTACAAACCAGAGCCATTCTGAAACACATAGCTACAAAATATGAATTGTATGGGAAGGACCTGAAGGAGAGAGCAATGTACAGTAATCATTGCATGCTTATGATAGAACATAGAAGCCACCTTTTTCATTTTAGGAAATTTCTTCTTAATAATTGAGACTGGCAACTAATTTGTCCTGGGACATATGGCCAGTAGAGTTCAAAGGCAAGGCTTGAATCCAGGAAATCCTGACTCCAATGCTTGCTGTTTATTCATTACAATGAATTTGTGTTCAACAGTTATCTTCTTTACTGTAAAAAAGCAATAAAGCTTTCATCAGCATGTTATCAATACGTAAAGCTTTCTAACTTCCTTTCCCATCTCAGAGCTTGTGGACTGGGGTTGGCCTTGTAGTGGGTATTTCTACCGGGTAAGACCAACAACGTAGTGGGAGGTCAAAGGAGAAAAAAGAATCTCTAACTTCAAAGCAGATAGCTGACTATAAGATAATGATATTGCCTTTTGTAGGCTACTTATCAATCAATTAATCAACAAATATTTATTAAGCATCTACTATGTGCCAAGCATATGTAATGCTCAAGGATACAAAAAGGCAAAAAATAGTCTCTGCCCTCAAAAAGCTTATATTCTATTAGCAGCTTTTTTTTTTTAAGGCAATTGGGGTTAAGTGACTTGCCCAGGGTCACACAGCTAGTAAGTGTCAAGTGTTTGATCTGAGCCCAGATTTGAATTAGGTCTTCCTAACTTCACAGCTGGTGCTCTATCCAGTGTGCCACCTCGCTGCCCCTAAGAGCTTATATTCTGAAGGATTGCTTATGGAACATTCCCACTAATATTTTAAGGCTTATATGCAATGGGCTGGCCCACCCACAGATACCTAGATAAATTGCTCAGAAAAAAAGTAATAATGGCTTTGGATCACAAAAAACCCCAATAATAACAATTTAAAAATATTTTTTACTGATTTGAAAGAGCTTGAGTTCAAAAACAATAAATATCTTTATTACTTATTAACTCAGTGAAAGTGATGGTGTTTTAAAAATTAATGTTTATGTTTATTAACTCAACATAGAGAGGCCATGTTGTATAGTGGAAAGCAACCCACATTGGATGAATCATCCACAAGCATTTATTAAGCATCTACTCTATGTTAGGTGCTGTTCTAGGCTATGGGGATACAAAAACAAAGAATGGAAATATTGACACAATTTTTATTCTCAAGGAATTTTTTATGTCTGGAGTCAAAAAGAACTGGGTTCAAGCCCAGGCGTGGACACTACATGTTTGATCCTGGAAAAGTTATTTAACCTCTGAGTGCCCCCCTAAAATGATAAGTGACAGGTGACTTGCCAATTTGCATGGTTGAGGGAGTAGCCCATTCTGATAAAATCATAGGCATAGACAAAAACACAAATCCAAAACAACTCATGCTGAATTCAGCTTATGAAATTGTGAGCTCCTCTAAGGCAGGGGCTGTCTTTTGCCTCTTTTTGTATTTCCAGCATTTAACATTGTCCCTGGCACGTAGCAGGTGTTTAATAAATGTTGATTGATTGATTAGTTGTATATGTTTTTCTAAACCAAGTGAAACTATCCTTTAAAACAGAGGTCGATGTTTTTAAAGCCCTGAATCAAGCTTTTTTTCCATTCTAAAGAATGTCTTACTTGCCAATCTATAGATGGGCCATTTTCCATATCTGACCCTTAACATATATATGATTGATTAGGCTATGTTCTTATCCTGGGTTTTGTGACCTTGTTTATTTAAATATTTTGATAACTATATTTCAATTTAATTGGTTTCCTTTGTAATCTTATGTATTTTGTTTTATGCATTTAAAAATATTATTCTGAGAAAGGGTACATTAGGCCTAACTAGATTGATAATGAGGTTCATGACAGTAAAAAAAAAAAGGTTAAAAATCTGGATTACAGGAAAAGCAGAAAGCGTTCAACATAGTAGGATCATAGATGTAGAACTGAAAGCGACATCAGAAATCATCTAGTCCAACCCCCTTATTTTACAGATGAGGAAACTGAGGTTCAAAGGAGTCAATTATCCTACTCATTTTGAATTGCCAGTGATGACTGCTTTTGTGATGAACAGATCTGTTTCAGGAGAGAGGCAACAATTTTAAATTAATTGCTTTTCTGTAGGTAGGCCTATTCTTCAAGGTAGGGAAAGTACTCAAAGCTTCTCCAACAGGTCTTTGTGCAAATCCTTGTTAGCACAAATGTTACATTTTTGGCCTGACCTATGATTTCATTGGCTGAGAGAATTTCAGTACGGAAACCCTTTCTAACAATACAAGTCAGCAACAATTATGACTTAGAGTCATATAAAGGTGCTTTCAGTGACTTGTCTAGTCATGTAGCCAGTATGTGTCAGAGATAGGACTTGAACACGGGGACCTGACCATGAGTCACCTAATTCCAAGACTGGCTCCATAATGAGGGGTTCTTAACCTGGAATCCATGAACTTTTTTTTTATTTGATAACTGTACTTCAACATAATTGGTTTCCTTTGTAATTCTGTGTGTCTTATTTTATGCATTCAAAACATTATTCTGAGAAAGGGTCCACAGGTTTAACCAGAGTCCCAAAATGGCTTCTTCTCCTTGATGAATTTTAAAGCATATACTATAATGATGAATTAATAGCTCACATATGACATCTTTCAATTGGCAGGTCATAACAACCCTTTATACTTTTTAAAGTATGTTCATGGACAAGATTAAGTAAGGAGTGAACTAAATGACTTTTGAGGTCCCTTCTAGTTCTAAATCTACAATCCCATATTTTTAGAGCATAGGGATGACTATATATTGAAAAGAATAAAAAACTTCTGTATGGTGACCAACAAGATCCCAAATAAGGCATTTTCTCTGGGCCCCATTAACTCTCAAACCCCCTCTCAAAAGAGTAACTATGTGCCAGTAATACAGTTGAATCTCCAGGAAAAGAACATGAGATGCTCATCAAGGTAACAGCCTTATATTCATAAGGCTGGGCCAACACTAATCCTTAAAACATTCTCTAAGCACCCCTCTATGAGCTATAAGCCATCATGCTCCATAGGGCATACAAAGCAATCCATGGGTTTTTGCCTTGGATGTGCACAAGGACTCTTCTCCTGGTGCAGACACTCTGAGTACACATCCCACCTCCAGCTGCCATTGCTACAAACAGTAGGCATTGATTCTCCCTAGCTATGTGAGGAGGAAGTGGGTTGGGGAAGGGAATCAGGTTTTCTTTTGCCTGGGGCAGTCCCTAAGGAACCTTACAAGTATAGACAATGTGCAGAATATCTACTCTACTATATCCCAACCCCTCAAAAATGGTAGAAGCTGATGCAGTTCAGTTAGAGGAAGAAAGAACCATGGAAGGAACTAGGTTAAGGGGCCAAGGTGTTTGCTTGTGCCAGATCTAAAGAAAAGGGGAGTGAAACACAACTAAAACAGCTAAGTCCAACCCAGAAGTTATGTGGGCTAGGGACCCAAGCCCTAGCCTGGGAAAAGCACATCCTTCAACATGAGAAGAGATTGAGGCAGATTTGTAGCACAGCCCTGGGAATATACCTACCAACAAAGGGAGAGTTTCAAGAAGTGAGTAATAGGGCTCAAAGGGAGAAAAGGCTAAAACTACTGATGATTTCAAGGAGATGAAATTTAAAACCCTAAAGCATAAGCAGATAAATCAACAGAGAAGTTAAATTAGAAGGAAGAATGGGTAAATTCTCCAAAAGATAACCAAGTTCTACAAATAGTACAAGACAAAGGTAATTGGACCTGCTCAGAAGTTGCCCAGGGTTCCCTAACTGTAGATAAAATATAAAATTTTCTGTTTTCTATTCATAGCCATTCAAAACTGGAGTTAAGCTCCAGGCTATGTTTTTCTAGGTTTCTCATATATTATTCACCTTTACACACTCTACCTTCTGCCCTAATTTACCTTCTTACTACTTCAAACACGGTATTAAGGCTCCAGTCTCTGCCTTTGCAAAAGCACCCTGGTCCCCATGTCTGGAATGCACTCTCTCTTTACCTCTGCATCTTAGAATTCTGAGATCCCTTAAAAGCTCAGCTCAGGGGCCACTTCGTACAAGAGACCTTTTTTGAGTTCCCTCATATCTCACCCCCCCAATTATTTTGTATTTATTTATATAAACGTTGCATTTACCTATATGTTCACATCTTATTTTTCACAATAAGATACAAATTCTTTGAACCCATTGTACCTGGAATATAGTGGGTGATTAGTAAATGTTTATTATATATATATACACAAAAGGGACTTAATAAGTGTTTGTTGGCTAGAGTGAATTGGAAGTATTGTTCTAAGTGACAAAGTTGGTAGCTCTGCAGGGGCCATCTTAAAACTCTTCCCCATTGGAACTGTCCCTACTTTAGAAGTCACTTCATTATTGCCATGCAATTAATAGAGTCAATTTTAACCTTTTTTTTGTCCAGTTGACCATTTCCTAGCTCATTCCAATACTGTATATTCCTTGGGCATTAATTATGTTCTCTACATTTATTAAGTGCTGAAATTTACATCTTTTGAGGTCTATATTTCTTAACATTGCTGGGGAATAAAATCCCAACAACTTTGACTTTAGGCAGTGGTACCCTGAGCTACCTGCCTTTTAGGGAGGAATAAAATGAAGTGTGAAATAATAGATGACAGGATCAGAGATTTAGAGCAGGAAGAGACCTTAGAAGTCTTCTAGTCCAAACACTTCCTTTTACAGGTGAGGGAACTGAGGCACACAAGGTTTAAGTGACTTGCCCAAGGTCACACAGATGGCAACTATCTAGGATGTAAGTTTGACCCAGAATCAGGGTGGCTAGGTGGCACAGTGGATAGAGTGCTGACCCTGGAGGCAGGAAGACTCATCTTCCTGAGTTCAAATCTGACCTCAGACACTTATAGCTGTGACAAGTCACTTAGCCCTGTTTGCCTCAGTTCCTCATCTATAGAATAAGTTCGAGAAGGAAGTGGTAAACCCACTGCAGTATCTCTCCCAACAAAACCCCAAATGCGTCACAAAGAGTCAGATGTGATTGAAATGACTGAACAACAATAATGACAGGAAGACCAGGCTAAAACTTTGTCCCTGAGACATTCTAGCTGTGTGACTCTGGGCAAGTCATTCTCTGAACCTCGGTTTTCTCAGCTCTAAAATGGGGATAATAATACCTGTAGGACCTAGTTTACAGTGTTGAGAGGCTCAAATGAAATCATGTGGGTAAAGTGCTTTTCAAATTTTAAAGTCTTTTCTCTCTATGTCAGTTATTATTAAATGCTTTTTCAGTCATTTCCCCTAGTTCTCATATTTTTATTTGTGCCACTTTTCTTTTCCAGTATTGACATGTATGTGGAAGGGATGAGGGACCTGAATGACATGATTATGTTCTTCCCATTTTCTTTGCCTGAAGAAAAACAAAAGATTCTCAACTACATCCTGGAGAGGGCCACTCAAAGATTCTTCCCAGTGTATGAGAAGGTACGGAACAATGCGGCAGTGTGTAATCTGCCTCTACATAATCTGACATTACAAGCCCCTTCTATTCATTCTGAGCAAATACGTGACAATGCAGGAGCATTGGAGGCCCCATGGTATGGAAGAAAGACCACTGGCTCTGTAGACACACGATCTGAGTTCAGACCCTGCCTCTGCCACTTACTACTTGTGGAAATGTGGGCACATCACTTTCTAACCCTGGATCTCAGTTTCCTTACCAGCTGTGTGACCCTGGGCAAGTCACTTGTCCTATCTGGGCCTCAGTTTCTTCATCTGTAAAATAAGGAAGCTTGACTTAATGATCCCTAAGGTCACCTCTAGCTCATAATCTATGATCCTAGAATTCATAAAGAACTAGGGAAAAATAAGATAGGCAGCCACGTAGAACTCAACACCAGGGGATGCAACAAAGGGCACATAATATTGATTTTTATGTTGAAAAATTACATGGCTAGTCCTGCCACTGATCTCTTTGAGTTCTTATGTATCCTTTTCGACTGGTAAATGAAGGAACGGCTGGTGACAAAGCTCCATGAATTTTCTCCATAAAAATGGATTTTTCTGAAACTATGTGCAAAGTTGGTACAATCTAAATCTTTTGGGATGAAGACTTATTAAATAATTTAATACACACACATAAATTACATCAGAAGACCTAATAGCAAGAACCTCTCCACAAGCATTTATTAAAGAGCCAACTGCATACCAAGATTGTGCTCAGCACTGAGGACACAAAGGCAAAATGAAATAGACCCTGCCCTCAAGGGGCTTACATTCTTATACCTAAAAGCGTGTGTGTGTGTGTGTGTGTGTGTGTGTGTGTGTGTGTGTGTATGGGTATATGTATATACACACAAGTAAGTACAATGTAATTTGGGGGGAAGATAATACTAATTGGAGGGGGCTGTCAGGAAGGTCATCATGTGGGAGGTGGTTTTTGAGATGAGTTTTAAGGAAACTCAGGAATCTATTGAAGGTTGAGGTAAAGAGTGAGTACATTCTAGGCTTGTGGGCCAAACTGTGCAAACATATGTAGTCAGGACATGAGATGCCTTATATGAGGAATAGGAAGAAGGCTAAGTTGTCTGAACTTTAGACTGTGTGAATGGGAGTAATGTAAAATGAAGGCTAGAAAGGAAGGTTGGAGTCAGGTTGGGAAAAGCTTTAAATTCTATAATAACAGCATCTTACATTTATCAAGTGCTTTATGATTATCAAATAGTTTATAGGCAGTATTTTACCTGATCCTCACAACAACCCTGTTGGTGAGCAATGCGAGTATCACCTACCTTTTATGGATGATGAAATGGAGTCTCAGAGAAGTGCAGTGAGTTGCCCAAGGTCACACAGCAAGTGGCAAAGCTAGAAGGAGAATCAAGGTCCTTCTGATTCCAAGTTGAGAATTTCATCCATAAAACATGTACAGTAAATTATTAGACCGTGAATTTATAGATCATACTTTTACTGGAATGTAGGAGGCAACAAAATATAACACTAGATTTGAAATGTGAAATCTATGTTCCAATACTAGCTCTGCCATTTTCTGCTTGTATACCTTGGGCAAATCAACTTAACCTCAGTGGGCTCCTTTTCTTCACCTGAAAAAGAAGGGGGTGGGGCTAGGTGGTCTCCAACTACACAGAACAATACTATTGTGCTGTAAGAAACAATTTGCACAGCTAAATCCTGTATAGAATTCTGAGTGGCATTGAAGTGAATTATTTGCAGAACTATTCATTGTACTTTTAGCGTGTATACTGTGCATTACATTTGTCTATGTATATTGTAGCATCCTCCTCCTGGTATGTTACAAGCTCCTTGATGACGGAGATTAGATTATTTTTTGCCTTTTCATCCCTATAATGTTACCCAATGCTATGCATTGTTGTTGTTGTTCAGTAGTTTTCAGTTGTGTTTGACTCTTGTGACCCCATTGGGGATCTCTGGATCTTTGAGATCCAGAGATACTGGAGTGGTTTTGTCTTCCTTCTTTAGCTCATTTTACAGATGAGGAAACTGAGACAAACAAGGTTAAGTGACCTGCCCAGGATCACATAGCTAGTAAACAGCTGAGGTAGGATTTGAATTCTAGAAGATGAGTCTTCCTCACTCTAGGCCTGGCACTCTATCCACTGCGCCACCTAGGTGCCATGCAAATAGGAAGTATTTAATGAATGTGTGTTTATTTGTTGAATAATGTCTGAAACAGAAAAATCTATTGTACCAGAAGTGTTACACAAATTGTTGTGTTGTTACACAAATTGCACAGATCTCTGTCATGATGGAGAATAAATTTATCCATGAGTCTGTCAGTTTCAGTTTGTGAAGACAGATAATTCACAGATTCCATTATAGGGGAAAATCAATTTTAAAATACTTGGGATGACAAAAGAGGAAAATGATAAATGTTGGAGAAGATGTGGGAAAATTACTAATGCATTGTTGGAGGAGTTGTAAACTGATTCAACCATTCTGGAGAGCAATTTGTAACTATGCCCAAAGGACTATAAAACTGTGCATACCCTTTGACCCAGTAATACCACTTCCAGGTCAGTATCCCAGAGAGAGAATAAAAATGGGAAAAGACCCACATGTACAAAAATATTTATAACAGCTCTTTTTGTGGTGGCAAAGAATTGGAAACTGAGGGGATACCCATCAATTAGGGAATGGCTAAACAAGTTGTGGTATATGAATGTAATGGAATACTATTGTGCTATAAGAAATAATAAGTAGGCACCTTTCAGAAAAAAAACCTGGAAAGACTTATATGAACTGATGCTGAGTGAAATGAGCAGAACCAGAGAACACTGTACACGGTTAACAGCCACATTGTGTGATGACTGATTTTAATAGAACTAGCTCTTCTCAGCAATGCAAAGATCCAAGATAACTCTAAAAGATTCACGATTGGAAAATGCTATCTACATCCAGAGAAAGAACTTTGGAGTCTGAATGCAGATGGAAGCATACTATCTGCTCTTCTTTCGTTTTGTTTCTTCTCTCTCGTGGTTCCTCCCATTAGTTCTAATTCTTCTTTGCAACATGACTAATGTGAAAAAATGTTTAATATGAATATTTAAGTAGATCCTATATCAGATTGCATGCTGTCTTGGGGAGGGGAGAAGAGATGGAGGGGAAGAAAATTTAAAACTCAAAATCTTATGAAAATAAATGTTGAAAACTAAATAAATAAATTATTTATAAAAAAAAACCAACAACTCCTTGGGGTTTTGGACCTTGATGGGAAAAAAAAAGGTGTTGTGTTAAGAGAATTTTAGAAACAACACTGTCTCAATAACCTAAAACTCTTGAAGGTAGATTGTCAATACAACCTGAGAATGTGGTCAACAGATGATCCCTCTGGGCTCCTAAAATGGGCAAAGAATAATGAGAAAAAAAGGAAACAGATTCTGTCTAGAAGACATCATGTGTTTCATTAATTGCCATAGCTAGAAGAGACCTTACCTTGTCCTTGGGATTTGTAAATTTTATTTTCCAAGTTTTGTGACTTTCCTTAAGCTTAAGGATATTTCCTTTTGGTTGAAATATCTCCCCTTCATTATAGGAGTTGTTGGATTTTTTTCCTTCACTGAGATTCCATTTTATGACCAACTTGGTGTCTCCTGTGAGATTCCAAACATACTGTGCAACCTTACTGCCTCTGGATTATTACCCACAAGGGTATTGAATGTCTTAAATAATTCTGCTTAGAGTTCTGTGTTACTGTACACAGCTGTTGAATTGAATGTGGCTGTGAATTCATTGCTATTGCCTGCCTTATTGTATTTTATTGCTTGTGTGTATCTGTGCTTCTTAGTTTTCATCACCCCCACAAGACTACATATGTTTTTTGTCTGAATTTGAACTATTGCTTTGGTGAATACATTTTAAAGTAGAATTTGAGCCAAATGGAAGTCAAAACTTTAGACATTTGGTGTGAGGTGATGCCATGAGAACCTCACTGAGGATTTTACATTCTACTAATAATAATAGCTAATGTTTATATGACACTTACTATGTGCCAGGCACTGTATTAAGGACTTTTCAAATATTATTTCATTTGATCCACCCAACAACCCCATTTAGATAGTCTGAAAATATAATGAGCAGAGGTTTGTGACTGGACAAACTGAAATGTCTGATCAAACATGAAAAATATATTACAGTCAAGAGGTTTAGATCTTTCCCCACAACAGGGGTGCCCTAGGCCTAAGAGTCTATTCAGGAAAGCTAGTAAGTACTACAGTCAAGAAAAGAATCTAGGTTTCCTAACTATTGGCCCAAACAATTTTTTTTTAAAAATTTTCTTTTGTATACAGTGTATTTCTCCCTCTCTCATTTGGAGTAATCCATAGTGAGGGATAAGTTTCTACTGGTTGGAAAGTAATTATTTTGCTACAAGAGAGAGTATACCAGGCTATACTTTTTTATTTTTAAAGTTAATCAACAACAAACCTAAAAATTTGGATGTACAAAGATTATATAAGAAACTGTAAACTTTCATAAGGTACCTCATACCTGGACTGCAATAGCTGCTTGGTTGCTCTACCTGCCTCCATTCCAGTTCATCTTTCATATAGCTGTAAAAATAATCTTCCTTAAGTATTAGTGTAACCATGTCCCTCTCCTATTCAAAAACTCCTATAGCTCCTTATTACTTCTAGGATCAAATATAAAATCCTCCATTTGGCTTTTAACTCCCTTTCATAACTTTACCCCTTCCTACCTCTCCTCTCTTCTCTCCCACTTTCACCCCCGTTTACTCTGAGATTCAGAGACCCTGGCCTCCTTGCTGTTCTGAACAGGAGTCTCACCATCTCCTGACTCCTGGGAATTTTCACTGGCTGCCTCCCATGCTTGAAACTCTCTCCACCCTCATCTCTGCCTCCTGGCTTCCTCCAAATCTCAGCTAGTGTGTCTTTTGCAAACATCTTTTTCTAGTTATCTTTAATTTTCGTGTCTTCCTTCTGAGACAGCACCGAAATTATCCTGTCTATAACTTGTTTGTATGTGGTTGTTTACATGTTGTCTTCTCTATTAGACTAAGATCCATGACAGAGGGACCTTTTTTTCCCCCTTACTTTATATACTCGCTACTTAGCACAGACTCCAATACACAGAAGGTGTTTAATAAATGCTTGTTTTCTGAATACCTAACAAGGTAGAAATAAAATTGCTCTCTATCTTCTTCTACCTTATGTTTTCTTCTGTGTATTTTTGCTAATTCCATCAGAATACAAGTAATGTACCCTACCTCCTGATACCTTTTTTCCTTACTCTCCTTGTCACTGGTCCTACAGGCATTAAAAGACCATGGGAAAAATTACCTTGTTGGCAACCAGTTGAGCTGGGCAGATGTCCAGCTGCTTGAAGTCATCCTAATGGTTGAAGAACTCAAGTCTGACATTCTGTCTGCATTCCCTAAGCTTCAGGTAATTCCATCAAAAGTGGTAACCACTTCTCTTGTACATACCCATTGCTTTCCATGTGGTTTTGCCCCTTAGATGTAATCTCCTTTAGGGCAGGGATGGTGTTTGTTTTTTCTTTTAATCTCCAGAGTTTAGTGTAGTGCCTAGAACACAATGAATGATTAATACATGCTTGCTAATTACTTAAAAGATCTGAGATTTCTCTTGAGTGGGTGCTTTCTCTACTGACTCTAACTCTATTTATCTCCCAAAGCTTCCTTCATAGATGGTCATCCTGGGCTGCTGTCATCAAGATAGTCATCAACTGTCGAGCACCCTTCTGCTGATGATTCTTAGGAATTTAGCTGAATATGTTTTCAGATGGTGAGCAAACAGCCCAGGGCCAGGCCCAAAGCTCAAAGTCTTTCCAGCTTGGTGGGACCACCTAAAACTTTCATTAGACTAGTATAGCTTTTGAGAATTATTGGTCTCCTCCACACCACTTTGAGCAGAGGAGGATTTTAATGGAAGCCGTGCTAGAACAAGGCTCTAAGTTGGATAAATTCATCAATTTATTCACTAATAAATCAATAGTTAGTACCTATTATGCACAAAATAGTGTGCTAGTCTCTGGCAATAGAGGTAGGGAAATAAAAGATGAATGTCATGATCTTTGCTCTCCCAGGGCTTACAATCTATCACATTTTGCTAAAGCTTTCCTTTTTGATTTCCTGTGTAGCTGTTTTATTGTCTGCAGGGGTGGCCTGAGGCCAACATTCATTGGTGCAGGAAAATCCTGTTGGGCAAACTCAACCTGTCAATGAAAATTGACACTAACTCTATAGCTTAAAGTCATAGAAGACTGTCTGGGAGTAAAAAGAGGTTAAGTGACTTGCTCTGAGTCACAGAACCAGTGTGTGTTAGAGGTGGGAAATGAACCCATGTCTTCTTGAGTGTGGAGGCTAATTAGTGCTCCATCCACTACTTTAAGTTGCCACTTCCAATTTGTCTTTTAACAAGTCTATACAAATATTAAGTGAAAAAACCTATGTGGGATATATATTTTGAAAAGAGAAGTCTGTTCATTCATTATATAACTGATAAGTGGGCCTTATACATTTGCATAGCAGGGAGTTCCTCAGGACTTTCAAATGTCACTGCCCATAGAGTAAAAATACTTGCCACAGCTTTCCTCCAGAATGAAATAGTTTCCAAAGGGTCTTGGCCAGAGCAACCCTGGGGCCCTCCTCCAATGTGCAAGGCTAATTGCTTCATTTACAGGTGATATCTTTTTTTTTCTTTCATTTTGGCAGTTCAAAGCTAGAGTCATCAGGCTCCCCAGGATTCAGAAATTCCTTCAGCCTGGTAGTCCAAGAAAGCCACCAGTGGATGATGCAAGTTTTGAAGTTTGGAGGAAGGCATACAACATTGATAAAAATGTGTTTCTTCAACACATGTGAATATCCAACTCAAGTAAAGAGTTCTAAAGAGCAAAATTAATATTTTAGTTTCCATCTGTAGTCATGCCCACAGAAATACTAGGATATGTTCCTGTGACATTCCTAGGTTCAATAACTAGAAAATATGATTACTCCCTATAGGTCTTATTGTAAATCAGAAAACCTAATCTTTATATTGCTTATTATAAAACTTCATTTAATCAGAACCTCACCTTACTCAGGATTGTAGAATCATAGATTATGTTCTCTTTTTTATTCCAATAAACAGTTAAATTTAGAGCCAGGAGAAACCTTAGAAATTTTTGAGTGTAGTTGTGTCTCCTCCACCCCGACCCCGGTGCTTTTTACTCAAACAATAATTAAAGTCCAGAGTTGTTATGTGACATACTCCAAGGTCACACAAATGGTCAGTGGTAGAACAGGGATTCAAGCTCAGGTTGATTATAAAATTTGGATAATAATAGCATTTACCTCCCAGGATTGTTGTAAGGATCAAATGAAATAATATTTGTAGAGTACTTAGTATAGTGCCTGGCATATAGTAGGTGCTCAAGAAATGCCCCATTTGGGGCAGCTGGGTGTTGCGATGGATAGAGCACCAGCCCTGAAGTCAGGAGGACCTGAGTTCAAATCTGGCCTCAGACCAAACACTTGACACTTACTAGCTGTGTGACCCTGGGCAAGTCACTTAACCCCAATTGCCTAAAAATAAAAAAGTTTAAAAAAAGAAAAAAGAAACACCCCATTCCAAATTCAACACTACTTCCACCATTATGCTACCTTCCCTCTAACTAATCCAACATTTTCTGCATTCTACTTTTGGGAGAAAGTTTTTATTTTAAAAAAATTTCTACATGATACATTAGGTTCAGTATAGATTTGAACCTTTTACACTTATCCTTTTGCTCTTAAGGATCCTCAAAAAAAGCAGAAATATTCAGTTATATTCACTCCACAGGATTTAAGCAGGAAAGTAGTCTGATAATATCTTAGAGGGAGTTTTAATTTTAAAAAATGGTTATTTAACTCTCAGTTAACTAGAAATTTCAATTAAAGAAAATTCCCATTCTCTCTACATGTCACATTGCTTTATCATGGTTTTACTCGTGTAAAAATAAAGATTATTTTTAATACAATCAAGGAAAACAACTGAACATTAACTTTGAAAATTTCCCATTTTGAAATAGCCATTGACTTGTAAACTCAAGAGACAGTTTCAGGAGAGAACCAGTGGTTTCATTTTTACAAGCAGATAATTTATCTGTGCACCATTTTCTTAAGAATGTATTGTAAAGCCAGCTAAGAAGAAACTTACCAACATTTAGAGGTAGGGTCAAGGGAAGTCTTAAGTTTTCATTTGGGTTATCTAGTTTTTGTGTGTCTCTTATGTCCTTTCAGTGTTACTTTTTGAAGTTCAATCTTGTAACTACAAAGTAAGTGTAACATTGCTGGGGTAGGGTGGTGAACAGTTGTTGAGTTAATCTTATTTAATCTTCCCACCTCATTTCACTGATTACATAATGATGATTCCCAATATAAATATTCTCTCTCAGATCTGGCAGTTGTTTAAAAAAGAAAAAGGAATCAGTAACTCTCTAGCTCTATGCGCTGAGCCCCAGTCCAGAGACAGTATTCTGGCAAACACCTGAGTTTTTCATTTCTCTCTCTTCCTCCTCTCCCGGGACACTCCTTCTCAATTGCCTTCTTCCAATTGTAACCCCAGTAGATACGCACAAAAAAGCAAAGACCTGTGGTTAACCTTGTTTTTTATAAACAAAGTAAATGTTTAAAATGAAGCAAGACAAACAGGCTTTCCCTATACTCAAAGAAGAAGGATTTAGACTTCCATGATGGAGCTCAAAAGGAGAAAGGAAATAACAAATTACCAGCTTGTCAAGTCACTTGATTTCTCTGAGCCTCAGTTTCAGCATCTATAAAATGTTGTACTAAATGACTTCCAAGGTCCTTTCCAGTTTTAGATTTATGATCTTATGAGACTACTCTGAAGTGGTGGTGGGGGGAAGCTTTTTAAAGGGGGAAAAGTCACATTAAGCATGGATTTTTTTATATTATATACACAGTGCCTTACACCTTGTAGGAATTAATTTTTTTTCATTCATTTCTTTCGTTTTTCCTTTTCCTATGAGTTTTTTTCTGTCCCTCTGTTTCTTTCTTTCTTTTTTTGCCTTGTTGCATTGTCCCTCAGTTCTTTTTTTTTTGCCACATATATAAACATGAATGGAACATAAAAATCCTTTTGTGCTCAGTAAGAAAATAAGACTGAAGACCAGAATTTGGCAAGCTAGAAATTAATGAAAGTTATCCCACTGACTTGAGGAAGGAAATGGAATCATGGATTCTTAAGTATTTAGTCTATTCACTCAAACCTCAGGGGAGGATTTGAGTGAACCAATAAAGTAGAACTAGTTCCAAAAAATTTATTTTCATTTTTCTGTTTAAGTTTCAAATCCATGAACATGCAAAGAATCTGTGATTTCTTTGGTGTGGTGATTCCCACCATCACTGCAGTTCTCAATCTTAATCTGTTACTTAGTTTTCCAAAAAATGCCCTGCAGAATTGCTAAAGGCTATTTAAAAAGCTTAGGTGACTTGCCCAGTGTCACATAGCTAGCAAGTGCCAGAAGTGGGATTTAAACCCAGGTATTCCTGACTCTGGGCCCAACGCTCTGTCCACTGTTCCCACCCCACCTCTAAAGTTGAACATATAACAACTGATGTGTGGATTTGTTTCACTTGACTAAACTCGTTATGAAGAGGATTCTATTGGTAATCGGCAGAGAAAGTGGAAAGTAATGAGGATGTACAAAAAGGGAAAAAAATCAACAATAAATATTTTTAAGAAGGGAAAAATAATAATTACTTGGGTATTGCATAAGAGTGGAAAGTGTAAAGGAGTGGTGGGTTCAGTAACATTGCAGGTCAAAGCTTACAGGCTGATGAGTGGGAGGATTTGGTCCATGAGTAACTGCTGCACTTCCAGCCAAAGTGAGATGGGAGTTGGGGACAGGGGAAGGCAAGCATTCATTAAACACTGACTGTGTTCCAAGCACAGTGGTAAGCACTTTGCCGATAGTATCTCATTTGGTTGAGAAAGGAAGACTCAGTCTCAAAAAGAAACAAAAATCTCAGTCTACTGGGGAGATAATGCCCAAGCAAGCATGAACAAACAAGATCCATACAGGTAAGAAGTAACATCAGGTTATTTTTTGTGTGGGTTTTACTTGATTACAACACTAAGTTCTGTTCTTTTAACTTGAGAATAGTTTACTGCTCATTAGGTATGACTGTGGATAAATTAAACAGAGAAAACATTGCCAGCTTGTAGGCTTGGTAAGATTATGAAGAACATGAACCATGCCATATTAACCAAAAGGTTATCTGCATTATAATACATAGCTGCTTTTTATGTCTAAACTATGCACAAATATTGGAATGTTGCAAGGTTATTCACCACCATCATGGTGTTCAGGCATCTTGGGACTTCAGAGATCTTAGGGTGCTGAATCAACATTTAGCTTATGAATTTTGTGCAGGGTTAATGAAATAATGGGGTCAGAAGATTCTTAGGGATCACCTACCCAATCCCCTCATTTTAGGGACGAGGGAACAAGCCCTGAAAAGGGAAGTGACTGACTAAGACCACCCAGCTAGAAGAGAGGAAATGAGTCTGGAAAAGCATCTGGAAGGATAGGGCTGATTACATGGATTTCAGGCAGAGCTTTGTCCAGGTCCCAGATTTGAAGCCAGAAAAAAGGTGAGACACTGGTGTGTATCTTCTTTTGCCTCCTCCAGCTCCTGGAAATTAGTTGGCCCTCAGCCGCTACAGCTGGGCAGATTTACAGACTTCTCCAGGGGAGATTTGCCATATCTAGCTGGGGAGAGATCAATGCCCATTTCATCTGCCCCTACCCTTTTCATATACCCTAAGATGACTAAAATGGGTTTAGTCATAGGTAGCCTTATAAATCATACGTTTCAGGGGCAGGGAGAAAATTTCCCTGACCATCATATAATGCCTCCCTATGTGCTTAATGTTACCTGAAATTTCTTTAATAGCAAAAAAGGCCTTTAAACAATTAGGGACAAAAGCCTAAAAGGTAAATGCCTATACTCTTTGATCTAGCAGTACCACTACTAGATCTGTGTCCCAAAGAAATCATAAAAAAAAGGGAAAAGAACCTACACACACAAAAATATTTATAGCAGCTCTTTTTGTGGTGGCAAAGGATTGGAAATTGAGAGGATACCCATCAACTGGGGAATGACTGAACAAATTGTGGTACATGAATGTGATGGAATACTATTGTGCTATAAGAAATGAAGAGCAGGCAGATTTCAGAAAAACCTGGAAAATCATACATGGACTGATGCTAAGTGAAATGAACAAAACCTGGAGAACATTGTACATACTATTAGCAACATTGTAGAATGATTAAGTGGGAATGACTTAGCTCTTCTCAGCAATACAATGATCCAAGACAATTCCAAAAGAATCATGATGGAAAATGCTATCCACTTCTAAAGAAAGAACTGATGGAGTCTGAATGCTGATTGAAGCATACTATTTTCACTTTTTTTGTTTTGTTTTTAATGGTTTTTTCCTTTTGTTCTGTTTCTTCCTTTACAACATGACTAATATGGAAATATGTTTTATCTGATTGCACATGTATAGCCTACATCAGATGGCATGCCATTTTGGGGAAGGGGATGGAGGAAGGGAGAAAAATTTGGAACTTAAAATCTTTCAAAAAATGAATGTTGAAAATTGTTTTTACATGTAATTGGAAAAATAAAATATTATTAAAAAAGAAAAAAAAAGCTAAATGCCTGGTAGAAGCAACCCACAAATATAGGATATAGACATTTGAGTCCATTTCTTAGAATGGGTGGATCAACTTTTATATTTTTTATCCATAACCAATAGCAGAGCCAGGGTGGCACGACTTTGTTTCAAGGCTTGGAAATTTCAAAATTAAAACATTTATGATCCTTCAATGTTATAGAAACAACTGAGTTTAGCACCTAGTTAGCAAGAATAATTAGTTAAAATAGGGAAATATGAGATGACCCATGCTTCATTCTCCACACTTCATTCCCCTCTACTCCCTAGCTCTGCCAATCCAGTGAGCTCTTCCCCTCACCTGACATAATCCCCGTTTCCTTCTCCTTTTCCCCAGCAGTTTTCCAATCACAAGCTTTCCAGTATTCCAAGATCACTATCATGGTCTCAGGTAAATTGAGGGTATGTTTCAAGCACTTGTTCTGGGTATATTTAACACCCCTTGCTTTAGGTTAAAAAACTACTATTTATGGCTCTTGCCAAGTAGTTGGATAGCTACAGCTTTGTGATATGGTTTGAGATTTGCTAATGTTGTGTCTCCTTCATTTGCTTCAATTTTTTTACCTTTTGTTCCTCCAAATTAATTTCATTTTATCTATTTCTATAAAGTCTTTCCTTTGGTAGATTGATTGGTATAACTTCTAATCTATAAATTAATTTAGGCAGCATTGTCATTTTCACTTTATTGGTTTGATTCAACCACAAACAATAACTATCTTTCCAATTACTTAATTCTCTCTTTATTTATGTAAAGAATGTTTTGTAGAAGAGGCCATCTTCATGACATCCAATGAATTTGAGCTGAAATGGACTGGTACTTAGAACACAGTGGATGGATTTTTTTTTTTTTTAAAGATTCAGCTCCAGGCAAGTCATCAGAGTGTTCACTTTGGAGTCTTGTGACTCAGGTTCAATTTAGTCATTGTCTTTAACAGCTGTTGAGAAAGAACAGCTGCAGGAACTTTGCTTCTTGGAATGAGTAGCTTCAGAGGAGGCTGGACTGCATTCAGTTATGAACTCACTTGTTGTCACTGTCCACCTATACAGAGAGATGGGAAATACCTCTGAGCTTTTACCTAACATGTTTAGTGACTTTTACCTAACGTATTTAGTGACTTTTACCTGTAAGGCACCTTACAAAGTGCTAGGGAAACAAAGGTGGTAGTTGTAATAATTAAAAAAGGAAGGATGCTGAAATCTTAGAAAATATTTCAGTCCTGTTATTCTCCCCTTCTCCTCCCTCCCCCCCCAAAAAAGTGACCAAGAAAACATCAGTGACTCTTGAGTCCTAGACCAATATTTTTTTATTCTGTACCTGTGGTTTCATTGGTATATGGGGAACTCCTGAAGCCCTCTACTAACACAGATTTGCACCTATTTTGCAATTCATAGCTTTAGTGATTGCCTGGTGGCAATTTAACTGCCAGGTTAAATGATTTGCCCAGCTCAGCTGGACTTGTGTCAAAAGCGGACCTTGAACCCAGGTCTTACTCAAGCTGAGGTTACCTCTCTATCCCTACACCACATCGCCTAGTTTTGTAGCATTATACAATTTTTTATGGGAATAATTTATATTGAGAGCATCTTTTATAAAGGTAGCAGAAGGTGACAGGTAGGCAGACCACAGTGTTGCAGTCACATAATTGACTGAAAAATAGAGGGAAGAAGAGATCCTGCTGTGCATTGTTTGTCAACTACCAGCATGTGCCGTGGGAAGAGCGCTAGAAGGGGAAGCAGGGGACCTGGGTTCAAATCCCAGTTCTGCCACTTACTCCCTGTGGGACCTTGGGAAAGTCTTTTAACTTCTCTTGGCCTCAGTTTCTTTATATAATGAGAGGGTTGAACTAAACTTTCTTTGCAATCCTTTCCAACTCTGTGATCCCATTAAACTCTATGCAAAAAGTAATTGTAAGCCCAAATTTGACTGGACCCTGGCCTGTCTCCAATCTGTTTATCACAAAATCATAATCTCAGTTTGTTTCTCAAAGACATTAAAAAATAAGTTGAGATTCTACTTTGTCTTATAATTATGCTGCTAGAGTTATGAGGTGACATGCTCCAGGTGAGCAAACCCCATTTGGAAGGAATGGATTCATCAGAATAGACACACCCTGATGTACCCAGAGCATAACCATACCAATCCTACACACAGATTTCCTTCCCGAATTTGATTGGGCCAGCTGTACCAAGGCCATAGCAACATGCCAAGGATTAGGGTAAAAGGATTATGGCCTTCCCAGTTTAGGAGATTATTTGAACAAAAGACCCATATGTGCAATGAGGACTTCAGTGCAGGGTCACTTTGAAAGTGACTTTATAGCCTTTAAAGCCCTTTATAACCTGACCTCCTACCTTTCCAGTTTTCTTAAGTCCTATGCACCCCTACATATTTTGTTATGCAGGGACACTGGCCTCCTTACTGTTTGTCAAATAAGATGCTCATTTTCCTGACTTCTTGCATTTCCATTGATTGTTCCCCATCCCTAGAATTCTCTTTCTGTCATGTCTGCTGCCTGGCTTTCCTGGCTTCCTTCAGCTTCTAGCTAAAATCCCCTCCTCTACAAGAACATTTACAGAGTCCCCCTTAATGCTACCTTCCCGCTTAATTATCCCTGATTTATCCTCAGAGGTGTGTGTATACACTACATATATGCATATATATGTGCATCTATCTATCTATCTATCTATCCATCTTGTTTGTACATAGTTATTTGCATGCTGTCTCCCCCATTAGGTTGTGAACACGTTGAAAACAGGGACTCTTTTTACCTTTTTGTATCCCCAGTGCTTAGCACTGTGGCATATTGTTGTTCAGTTGTTTCACTCATGTCTAATTCTTCATGACCCCATTTGGAATTTTCTTGGCAAAGATACTAGAGTAGTTTGCCATTTCCTTCTCCAGCTCATTTGACAGATGAGGAAACTGAGGTAAACAGGGTGAAGTGTCTTGCTCAGGGTCATCCAGCTAGTAAGTGTCTGAGGCTGGATTTGAACTTAGAAAGATGAGTCTTCTTGATTTCTGGACCAATTCCCTATCCACTGTGCCTGTCCACCTGGCTGCCCTGCCTAGCATATTAGTAGGTGCTTAATTAATGCCTGTATACTTGACTAAAAGTGACCTAGGAAAATGAGGGGGCTACTAGATCTGTTAGTTCTTTTCAAGTTCTAATGTTCTAGGCCAACCAGACTTGAAACTTTGGACTTTTCTCTCTCCTGACTCCAATCTACCCCACCTCCCACCCCATCTACCTAATCAAGTCATTTTGATTCTAGCCCTGCAATTTCTTCTATTTAACAGTTGCAATATTTGTTTAAGGTTGAATTATCTCTTGTTTTTAACT